AGAGAGAGAGAGAGAGAGAGAGAGAGAGAGAGAGAGAGAGAGAGAGAGAGAGAGAGAGAGAGTCTGAGTTGTTCCTTGAACGGAAAGATACCATGACTCTAGTGAGGTAATTCAGATGTTGAACTTTGGCGAAATTTCCGAGCAGCAAATATGTCGGAAACACTGAAGGTCTACCCCGCTCTCGACACCCCATTTAAAAAAAAAAGGATATACTATTTCTGAAAATTTTGAGCAGTTGAGCTTGCTGGAAACGGTGAAAGTCTTTGCTATACGCATGTTGACATACATACTATACACCTTTCAACTTGGAAAGAAGGCATATATACGTTACACCTTTCAACCTGCCGAAATTCTTGAGCAGGTGAACATGGTGGAAACGCTGAAGGTCTATCCAGCTCTCGACACCCCATTGAAGAAAAAAAAAAGATATATTATTTCTGAAAATTTTGAGCAGCTGAGCAAGCTGGAAATGGTGAAAGTCTCTGTTATAGGCATGATGGCATACATAAGTCACACCTTTCAACTTGCTGAAATTCGTGAGCAGGTGAATATGGTGGAAACGCTGAAGGTCTATCCAGCTCTCGACACCCCATTGAAGGAAAAAAAAAGATATATTATTTCTGAAAATTTTGAGCAGCCGGACTTGCTGGAAACGGTGAAAGTCTTTGCTATGGGTATAATGGCAAGCTGCATATATACGTTACACCTTTCAACCTACTGAAATTCCTGAGCAGGCGAATATAGTGAAAACGCTGAAGATCTATCCCACTCTCGACACCCCATTTAAAAAAAATAAATATATATATATATATACTATTTTTGAAAATTCTGAGCAGCTGAGCAAGCTGGAAACAGTGAAAGTCTCTGTTATAGGCATGATGGCATACATATGTTACACCTTTCAACTTGCTGAAATTCCTGAGCAGGTGAATATGGTGGAAACGCTGAAGGTCTATCCAGCTATTGACACCCCATTTAAAAACAAAAAAAGATATATTTTTTTCGAAAATTCTGAGCAGCTGAGCAAGCTGGAAACGGTGAAAGTCTCTGTTATAGACATGCTGGCGTACATAAGTTACACCTTTCAACTTGCTTAAATTCCTGAGCAGGTGAATATGGTGGAAACGCTGAAGGCCTACCCCGCTCTCGACACCCCATTTAAAAAAAAAAAGGATATACTATTTCTGAAAATTCTGAGCAGCCGAACTTGCTGGAAACGGTGAAGGTCTATGCTATGGGCATGATGGCATACATACGTTAAACCTTTCAACTTGGAGAGAAGGCATATATACGTTACACCTTTCAACCTGCTGAAATTCTTGAGCAGGTGAATATGGTGGAAACGCTGAAGATCTATCTCGCTCTCGACATCCCATTTAAAAAAAATATATATATGTATTATTTTTGAAAATTTTGAGCAGCTGAGCAAGCTAGAAACGGTGAAAGTCTCTGTTATAGGCATGATGACATACATACGTTACACCTTCCAACTTGCTGAAATTCCTGAGCATGTGAATATGGTGGAAACGCTGAAGGTCTATCCCGCTCTCGACACCCTATTGAGAAAAAAAATGATATACTATTTCTGAAAATTCTGAGCAGCTGAGCTTGCTGGAAACGGTGAAAATCTTTGCTGTAGGCATGATGACTTACATACGTTACACCTTTCAAGTTGGGCAGAAGGCATTTATACGTTACACCTTTCAACATGCTGGAATTCCTGAGCAGGTGAATATGGTGGAAACGCTGGAGACCTATCGCGCTCTTGATACCCCATTTAAAAAATATATATATATATACTATTTCTGAAAATTATGAGCAGCTGAGCCTGCTGGAAACGGTGAAAGTCTCTGTTATAGGCATGACGGCATACATACCTTACACCTTTCAACTTGGTGAAATTCCTGAGCAGGTGAATATGGTGGAAACGCTGAAGGACTATCCCCCTCTCGATTCTGAAAGTTATGAGCAGGCGAATATGGTGGAGAGGCTGCAAGTCTCCGATAAAAAAAAAAAAAAAAATGTTTGCCAAAAGGGGTTGAATTTCAACCTTCTCTCGGGGCTGGTTATCTCTTGTGCACCCTTGTTGCGTCTCGGGGCTGGAAGTCCATTCAGATGTTGAACTTCCTCAGAAAATTTTGAATAATATAAGGATCGTTAACCTTCTCTCGCTTGATAGAGACTTTTGAGTGCGCGTCCGTGCGCGCCCAAGCTTGAGAGTATTATTCAAGTGCGCGCCCATGCGCGCCCAGGCTTGGCATTGCAGAGAGAGTGCGCGTCCATGCGCAAGCTTGGACGTAGTATTTGAGTGCGCGCCCATGCGCGCCCAAGCTTCACGTTGATATTTGAGTGTGCGCCTATGCTCGCCCAAGTTTGGAAGTGACATTAGAGTGCGCGCCCAAGCTTGGAAGTGACATTAGAGTGCGCGCCCATGCGCGCCCAAGCTTGGAAGTGATATTTGAGTGCGCGCCCATGCGCACCCAAGCTTGACGTTGATATTTGAGTGCGCGTCCATGCGCGCCCAGGCTTGATACTGATATTGGAATGCGCGCCAATGCGCACCCAAGCTTGGAATTGATATTTGAGTGCACGCCCATGCACGCCCAAGCTTAGCATTGTTTTTTAAGAGTGCGCCCATGCGCGCCTAAGCTTGGAACTAAGATTTGAGTGCGCGTCCATGCGCACCCAAGCTTAGTATTGCCTTTTGGGTGCGCATGACGTTGATATTTGAGTGCGCGCCCATGCGCGCCCAGGCTTGATATTGATATTAGAGTGCGCGCCCATGCGCGCCCAAGCTTGGAATTGATATT